CAAGCCCTGCCATTCTGTGATTCTGTGAGTCTGCTCTCTTCTGAGATGACCTTCCCTGGGGCTCCAAACTGCTGTCCCAGGGGTGTTTCATCCGCTGAGATGCTGGGAGCATCACACCAGAGCGCCTGCAAGGGAAGGGTTTGCAAATCCCAGCCCTGGACGCTGTGACTTGGCCACAGTTCTGAGCTCTCCTGGAATGGTGTGGATATTCTGGGGGAAAAGAAACGGAGAAAGATCCACCTTTGCGAGGATCCCAAAGGATCTCATCTTTCCTCCCCACCACCAGTGACTCCGTGGGACCAGTGCTGGTGCTGATGGGTGAGGCACCTGTGAGGAAGGAGCGTGCTGGGGGGCTAGGGCTCATTGCCACTCAACCCTGTGCTTACTGCTCATACATGCTGTGGGCCAGGCTCTGTCTGCAAACACCCACAGCCCCCAAACTTCTCAAAGGGGCTCACAGCCACCAGACAGGGCTCTTCTCACCAGGTAACCCACTGGCAGAGGGATGCTGTAGGCCCCTGTCTGCGTGGGCTGCTTTGGAGGTGAAGGATGCTAAATCAGACCCCAGCCAGGGATCCCACTGCCAAGCAGAGGTTGTCCACGTGCTCCTGGGGACCGTGGCAGCTCTAGAGCAGTTCCCTGTTCCTGTTCGTGTGGGGTACAAACCCCATGGACACAAACTTCTGCTCCCCCCTGCAGATGATGCAGACCAACATCGCCGGAGTCTTCGCAGCAGGTGATGCCGTCACGTTCCCGCTGGCCTTGAGGAACAACAAGAAGGTGAACGTCCCTCACTGGCAGATGGCCCATATGCATGGTGGGTGCCTCTCAGTCCCTTCCCCTCACAACAGTGAGTTGATGATGGAAAAGAACCTTTTCCACATGCCAGGGAAGTTTCCAAGCCCTCTAGCAAGAGAATGAGACAACCGCCAACAGGGGAACTGTGCTGTTGCACTGAACATGTTGAAGCATGTACGTTTTATCAGAAAAACTGGGCAGCCTTCCTGAAGTGCATTGCACAGGGATGCCTTGTTACACAGAGGTGGCCAGGGACATGCACCATGTGCTCCCTAGCATCTGCAGCCCTGCAGGAGCCTGATCTTCTTGCCCTGGAACACGTAAGAATTCACATCCTTGGTCTCACAGCCTCAGCTGGGCTGCCCATGCTGCCAGGCTGGCCCAGGAGCATGCTGCAGAGCTGAGACCTTTGTCCCCTTCATGCCACCAAGCCTGGAAACTCTGGCATGATGGGCTGCCCTTGAGTTTTCCAAGGCCACAACCCCACTGTGAGGCCGACCTGTGTCTGCCTCTGGGGTCAGCCTTTGGCCACAGCCCCCTTTAATGCTGGCCCAGACGTGTCTATGCCTGGGGCTGCCCTCTCACTGTCTCCAGGCCCTCAGTGGGTTTATCCATGCCACCCACTTGTGGGGGGAGCTCGGCAAACTCATTTACCCTGGCTCATGCTGCTGCTCCTCCTGCAGGGCGTGTGGCTGCGCTGAACATGCTGGCCCATGGCGTGGAGGTCAGCACAGTGCCCTACCTGTGGACAGCCATGTTCGGGAAGAGCATCCGCTACGCAGGTGAGGGGCTCCCCAGGGTGCTGGAGGAGGTGTCCTGGGATGGAGAAGCCACAGCCATCTTCCCTGCTGTGGACCCTCCACGCTGATGTCTGCCTCAGGTCTGCTCCTGAGGGCTTGGGTCCCTCCTCTGACACCTGCCTGCCCCTGGTGCAGGTTGTGGGCACGGGGGACAGCCCAGCAGGGGCACAGAGAGCTCCCCTGGACGTGCACTCCTCTGAATGAGGGGTGCTCTCGGGTACCCTCATCCTCTGGGGACGGTCTCCTCGTGACTGCAGGGTGCTCCTCGTGTAGCTCCAGGCTGAAACACCCTGTCTCGGGGGCTAAAGCTGGATCCAGAGGGGTTGTTGCTGAATCCAGTTCTGCTCTGCCTTCCAGGCCACGGGGAAGGATTCGATGATGTTGTCATTCAGGGAGATTTAGATGAACTGAAGTTTGTGGCATTTTATACCAAGTAAGTGTTTCTCTTCTCCGTATCTCTACACAGGCATTTGTCTAAGCTTCTTCTGCTAGCTAGGAATTGTTTTTGCCAGAGCTTCTGTCAGTTTTGTTCCTCCCTGGACACTGGGGTTGCAGGACAGTAATAAAAGGCCCTGGAGAAACGATGTGCTCAGCACTAAGCAAGTTAAACTGGTCTCTGGGCCTGATTGTCCCTGCCAGATGGAAGCACCTTGTCTGTTCCATGACGTCTGAGAGCTGATAATGACTTCTCTTAATTTGTTGCTGGCAATGCCCATCAAAGATTTCCTTCCCATCTCATCACTGCGTTAATGATTTGTGACCAGGCCTTGATGGGGACCTTGGGCATCACAGTTTCTGCTTCTGGTTTGGCAAATCAAGCTCAAAAAACTCCTCTATTAACAAGAATGTGAAGGTTAGCAGGAGTTCAGGGGTTTTCCTTACACCTGTAGTGAAGCCAAGCCCTCTCCAGGCTGGGAGCCTATCTGGGAATATTTTCCTGAGTTGTGCTGGCAGCCAGGATGAGTTGCCTCTGATGTTCCTGAGCCATGCTGGCTGTTTTGACTGCTGAGACCGTGCACCATGAGCTTATCCCTAAAATATTTGCTGCTGTTTATTCTTCCATAGAATCATAGCATCACTCAAATATTTTGGTTGGGAAAGACCTTTTAAGATTATTGTGTTCAACCATTCCCCAGCACTGCCAGGTCTCCACTGCCCCGTGTCCCTCAGCACCACATCTCCACAGCTTGGAAACCCCTCCAGGGGTGGGGACTCCACCACTGCCCTGGGCAGCCTGGCACAGGCCTCCACGACCCTTTCAGGAATTGTTTCAGGAGCTCAACCTCCCCTGGCACAGCTTGAAGCTGTTTCCTCTTGTCCTGTCACTTGTTTCTTGGGAGCAGAGCCCGACCCCCACCTGGCTCCAAACTCCTTGTAGGGAGCTGTGGAGAGCCAGAAGGTCTCCCCTGAGCCTCCTTTGCTCCAGTCTGAATAATCCCAAGTCCCTCAGCTGCTCCTCACCACACTTGGGCTCTAGACCCTTCCCCAGCAGCTTCGTTGCCCTTCTCCAGACACGTTCCAGCCCCTCAATGACCTTCTTGGAGTGAGGGTCCCAAAACTGAACCCAGGATTCAAGGTGTGGCCTCCCCAGTGTGGATCCAGGGGGATGGTCCCTGCCCAATCCTGCTGGCCACACTAGTGCTGATACAAGCCAGGATGCTGGTGGCCCTCTTGGCTACCTGTGCACCTGCTGGCTCGTGTTCAGCCAGCTATCAACCAACACCTCCAGGTCCTTTTCCACCAGGCAGCTTTTGTTGCCTGTGTCTTGTCCCAGTCTGAAATAAATGGCCACAAAGCCTCCGTGTCCCTGGAGCTGGAGTGGATTTCTTCAAGTGCATTGCAGCAGTAAGGATGGGGAGAGCGAAGACAGGGAAGCAAACATCTGCAAACTGCTTGGCAGTAGTGTTCAGACAGGGCTTGAGAAGGAGTTCTGGGCAGGAGCTGGCTCCTGCTTGGCAGAGAACATCTCACCAGGGTTCACTGGTGAGATATTTCCTCATCATTGGGCCATTTTCCAATGGCCCAATGTTGGGCATGGCCTCCCCTCCATGTCCCACTCCCTGAAGGTGGCTGCTTTGCCCCCAGCTCTCCAGGATGGAGTCTGGCTGTTGGATGTGTCCATCAGGCTTGGAGAGGCACAAGGCTCACTTTGTCACCCCACAACAGAACTGGGTCCCCAGCACTCCCTCTCCCTCTCCTGGTGCCTGTGCACCTTGGATAGAAACCTGCTGCAGGTGACGAGGCTCCAGCATCTGCTGGCACCCGAGGGCCCTTTGCACATGGACACACCTCTGAGCTCACCAGCACCTTGGTCAAAACGGCCTCAAAGAGTGGGTTTGTGTCAGGGCAGGAGAGAGCTGCTGCTGGGGACACTCCCCTCCCAGCCACAGGGCCCTCACCCCCATCTCACCATGTTCCCATGGGCATTTCCACCCCACAGCTCCCAAAGCAGCCCTTTAAACCACAGTTTTCTCAGGGAGCGAGAGCCAGGAGAAGACAAAGCCCCATTTTTGGCAGGTTTGCTGGCGTGGTTTGTGCAGTTGTGTGGAGCTGTGGCTCCGTGGGCCCTGCCACCACCCTCAAGGGCAGTATCACAGGGTTGGCATCCAGGAGCCACGCTGGCACATGTTGCCCCCTGGCAGAGAACCCCCAGTGAAACCTCTGTCCTCCTCTCCACACCAGCACCTTTAGCACATTTATCCCAAGCCTCATGAGAAAGGAAGTGTCAGATGGCTTTAGTTAAACATCTGCAGAGCCTGTTGGAGAGGAGAGCCCTGCGGAGGGTGCGTGACCCCTGCCCTGTGCCACGGCCCCACGCTTGGGGTCTGCCTCTGGCAGTCAGGGAGGCCAGGCCCAGTGGGTAGCAGCTCCCTGGTGGGCAGCAGCTCCCCGGGGCGCTGGTGGGCAGTGGGAGGCCCGCTGCTGAGTGCCGTGTTGTTCTGCCACCCAGGAGAGGCTCCCGGAGGAGGCTTTTGGGTCCCGGGACAGTGTCCTGCACTGCGAGCTGGAGGTACTGGGGGGCTGGCCAGTGCCTCTCCCATGGCTGGGCTCAGCTGGAATCAGGTCCCTTTGTTTCCATGAGAGGGCACTGGGAACATTTCTTCCTCTTTTTCTCGTTTGGTGATAGTTCTTCTGGTTGGTGCTAATGCTTTTGGACTGAGGACGATGTCTCAAATCTACCAACTCTTCCTCATTCCTTCTGCTGTGCCAATCAGATGGTTGGGTTCTTCTCCTGGTGTGTGCTGTCTTGGCTGTTGCATGAACCACTGGTGGTTCCCACTCCCAGAGCCTGTCCTCAGCATCAGCGTTCACAATAAAGCTCTTTTTTTTTCCCAGAATTGAAGAAGAAAGCTGTTTCCTCATCCCCCTTCAGCTGTCTGGGCTGTGGAGGGGTCAGAGTGAGGCTCTGTGTCCGGAGGTGTGCAGGATGGTGCTCTGCAGATGTCCCCGTGGGACACTGCATTCACTGCAGCGCTTCAGCTAGAACAGACTGGTGTCATCTCACCCCCCAAGACCCTGGAGATCTTGGGAGATCCAGGGAATTGCTGTTGGTGTCTTCTTCATGGCTGCCCACTTGGTTGTGTTGACCCCTGCAGAGGAAGGGCAGACGGTGCAGACACGGTGCTCACCCGCAGTCCTCCATCTTCCCTCAGCCTTCACCAGACTTCTGGCTGCTCCAGCTCCCAGCTTCAGCAGCAGCACTTGTGTTGCCCCTGAAGACCTTTTGACAAGACAGGATTCCTCCTGGCTTTCCCATCTGGCAGACAAAACGCTTAAAGCCACTGCTGAGGTGGGGTGCTCCAGCTCACCGGTGTTCACAAAAGGAGGAGTTTGTCACGTCTTCCTGACAGAAATTTGGGTTGCATCCACCTTCCCAGCTGACTGGGCTCGAGGCTGGTGGATCACAGCCTCCTTTCCTCTCCACTGTGTGCCTTGGCTTTGCATTCCCTTGAACAGCACGTCTCCCTCTCAGTTTGACGGATGGGTCTCTCCAACCATTGTGTGTTTCCCCACTGGGAGCTGGCTGTGCTCGGGAAACCAAACACGGAGGAAACCACCGAAGCTTCAGGACCGTGTGGTGGTGGTGTTGTGTGCTGAGCACCAGAGGCATCAAGCAATGGTGAAGCAGGCAAGGCCGAGGCCCTCTGTGGTGAAAGTAATGCCCTGTAGGGTGTCCCCAGGGTGTCCCCAGGCGATGGTTCGTGGTGGAATGGAGTTCTCTTGGGCAATTTGTGTTCCTGAACTTGGGGCAACAGGCGAAGAGGGAACCTGAGCTGCAGTGCCATCAGATACTGTCTCGAGAGGAGACTGGCTGGCTTTTGTGAAGAAAACTCAGGAGTCCCTGCACACACAACTGGAGTTACATCCTCAGGGAATGGGGTCCTGTCCAGGGGAGAGTGGAGGACCTAATTTACATCAGGCAGGACATCCCATCGCAGCAGTGGAGATGCAGGCTCTTCCAGAGCACAGCAGCAGCCCTCAGACCAGACAGCCCAGCAGCAGTTCAGCTGAACACATGGGTGCTCTGTGGTCCCCTTGGTGGTCCTCACTCTCACTGCTGGCCACACTCCTGTTCTCTGGTGTGAACATTTTGCTCATCAACGTCTGTCTCACTTCTTAGTCTCGCCTTGTCTGCTGGATGGAAGAGGCTTCAGCTCCCTAAAATCCCCTCTGCTGTAGGTACACAGCTCTGCAGTGAGCTAAGGATGAATGAGGTGGGATTTCCAACGGCATCCAAGTCTTGTTCCAGAGCTCCCTGCAATGCAGCAGCTCCCTCTTTCCGCAGCCATTCCCCATGTTGGAGCCTGGCCAGCGCTGGGCCCTCTCTGGGTCTGGCTGGTGTGGACTAAGCAAGCTGTGGAGAAGCTCTAGGGGTTTGAGGGAAGATTCTGCGCTTCTCGTCTGCTCTGCACACTCATAGGATGGGGTCTCCCCTTGCTCTCCCTTTCTGAGGTGCTCTCCCTTATCTGTAGAGAGCTTCTTTAGGCATCAGAGCCTTTTGAAACAGTCTTCTGTGATGCAGCTGCCCTGTGGCTTTGTGGGACAGCCATGAGATATGATTTCAGCTCCCATGGATGCACTGCCATCAACTGTCCTCAGAAACATGGGTTCTGCCCTGCTCCTCCTGGGAATCGGGCACGTGTTCCCTCCCTGCTGCTGTTGGTCACAAAGCTCTTTGGCAGTGGACTGAAGAGCAGATCTTGATTTGTTGGGTGCTTCTGCTCATCAACTTAGCAATAGCAGCAGTGTTTAATATCTTACCCATCCACCTTCTCTGATCTTTACACTGTTTATCTATCCAGCTATCTATTCATGAGTCAATCCTGGGTTCGGGCTTTGACAATTTCTCCTCTGGTCAACCTCTGCCAACCTCAAAGCAGAAGAGCCCTTCTGGTTTGCCTTGTGACCTTTAGCCAATGCTCCTCCAGCAGTTTTCCATCCTCTTCTCTCCCACTTCATTAGTTTCCCATTCAGCCTTTGAGGTTGTGTTGTGCCACCAGCACTGGCATCCTGGTGGGTCAGCCAAACTGGGACCTGCTGCTGGACATCCCCTGTGCACAGGGGTGGCTGGGGCTGGTGGGACCGTGTCGTTGGACACGCTGGTGCTCTGGCAGGAGCAGCTCCGAGGTGGGCACTCTGCCCACTGGGAAGCAGGGATTGGGAAGGGGACGTGGAGCAACACAGCGGAGTGTCCCACAGGGAAATCCTGACCCTTGATGGCTGCTCCCTGAGGGACAGCAACCCCTGGGCATCCCTGCTGATGTCCAGATTTTTAAGTGACCACCAGATCTACCTTTGCTGGTGCCTTCCCCCAGATCTGTTACCACTCCAGTGTGTGAGCGCTGGTGAGACCGCAGCGGGGCCACCTCTGAGCCCTCTCTTGTCCCTTGTCTCATGCTTCCAGCACAGCCCCCGTGGTGCTCACACCTTGGTCCTGACCCTGGAGTGGGTGTTTCTCTTTGCTTCCCACTTCTCTCCAGCATGTTGCTTTTTGGGTGGTGGAGCTGAGGCTACGTGGGGCTGTGCTAACCACTCTGCTCTGCCCGGCCCCAGGAGTGACGAGGTGGTGGCTGTGGCCAGCATGAACTACGACCCTATCGTGTCCAAGGTGGCCGATGTCCTGGCTGCTGGCAGGACCATCCGCAAGCGCGACGTGGAGTAAGTAGACTCTGCGGGAAGAGGCTGTGCCAGGGCAGGGGCCGAGCACGGCCATGGGGTGCAGGGCAGGGCTGAGCACCCCGAGGCAGGACTGTGGATGGGCTCTGGGCAGCTCCTTCCCACTGCTCCCCACGCCATACCCTTGTCACATCTCCCCTCCCGCTCACTCTGTGCCCCGATGCTGCTTCCCAGCCGCCTGCGGGTCTGGCATCCCACGGGCAGGGGTTTGTCTGAACCCCTTGCAGAGACTCGAAGGGACTGTGGTGCTCAGTGTCACTGTCACTGTCACCCAGGCACCCCGTCAGACGAAGGGACTTGCTGAGAGGGGCTGGGGGAGCAGCCTGAGCACAACCCTCTGGGAGAGCAGAGCCCGGAGTGCTCATGGTGTTGGGACACAAGCCCTTGGTGTCGCAGCCTCTGGTTCATTGGGGGGGAGCTCACACAAACTGCATTTTTCTCCCTTAATTTTTTTTTTTTTAAGGCTTTGCACAGGAAGGAGCGTACCCCTGCATGCAGAGGGTGGGGGGATGAGCTGGGCTGGAAGGCAAATGCCAGGGAATGATAACAGCTGTGAAGGAGCCTTCAGAGTGGGAATCAGAGCTGGGGGGGAATGAGTGTCCCTGCCCATGGGGTGTCTCCACGTCTGGAATAAAAGCAGACTTTTCAAAAAGCTCCAGCCCCCGGGCAGCCCCAAGCCAGCTCAGCCACCTGGGCACCTCCAGGACCAGGAGCCGTGCCGCGGGCCCCCCCAGCCACTGGTGACCTGGGCAGAGTTGTGCCCATCACCTCCAGTATGTCAGGAAATGGTTGCTGGCTGCCCAGTTTGAGGCTGAGAGGGACGTGGCATCTCACGGGCAGGTTAGGAGTGGGGGCAGCTGCCAGCCCCTGTGGTGGGGCTCGGGGAGCCTGGAGGGAGCCAGACCACCTAAACTTGAACATCTTTTCTCTCTCTGTCTCCTGCTGCTTTCGTACCTTTCAGGCTGTTTGTCCGCCATGGCAAGTACGTTCCGTTTGGGGTGCCAGGCGTGCTGGGCTTGGGGGGCGGGCAGGAGGGACAGCCCCCTGCTTGGGCCAGGTCCCTAATTCATGCTGCATGCTGGGGCTGGCAGAGGCGCCATGGCGGTGGGCATGGCTGCTACGTCCCCTCTGCAGGCTGCTGGTGCCTTTTGGTTAGGACCCCACTCGGCTGGGAGCCACCGCCCGTTGGGTGGCTTTCCGTGAATTTTCAGTTGAATGCCAGAAGGGCTTGGTTTAAGTTAAAAAAAGAAAAAAATACTGTTTGAACTCAGTTTCCCACAGAATTAAGGATTTGCATGTCAGCATTTGAGCAGCTACACTGCCACGTGGGTGAGGAGGGGGAAGAGGCACTGCCACCCTGCCCAGGCTGTGCCCCAGCGTGGAACAGCTCGGGCACAGGGCAGGGACTGAATGCTGGGCACATTCACCCGCCCACGCTGGGAAACATCTGCTTCATCTCACTGCTGGTTTGTTTTTTTTTTTTTTTTTTTTTTCTTTTTACAATGGGGATTGTGCTCGACTCA